ATATTTACTGAGATAAATGGTGACGTGTTCAATACTTATTTTACCCACTGTATATATTTGTGTTGATAAGCCTGAGTGGTCTGTTTGACCTTTGTATTTGTTAAATAATTGTAATGGGCAGGTTACAATGTAAAAATGTTTGTTATAATCATGTCTTGTGATTATTTGACAGGAGTTTTACTTTTAAACTATAAGTGTATTTAATTTAGTTATGTTATTATAGTTTAGTTATGATGTAAATAAAATAAAAATTAAACCTAGATTTAGAATAATTATCATTTTGATCCATACATTGGTAATGTCTGACTGGGACTCTTGTCACTTCATGTTCAACAAATTGGGCCTCGAGGTCAAAAAGGTTAAGAACCCCTGCTCTAGAACTGGCCAATCAGCTGTGAGATTCATTTTGACACCACATCTGTGTAGCCAATCAATTTACCTCTCATTTGAAATGCAGTTTTTGTGGGTGGAGGTGTTAAATAAAACCAGAAAAAAAACTAATAGACAGTTTTTGAAGATTCAGACATTTCTCCCCAAAGTGGTGAAGACAGCGGACATGAAAAACACGTTTTTTGTTTTGTTTTTGTTTTTTGACAATTAGCAGGCTAAAGAAGCTATAAAAGTGGGAATAGTGTTCTTAGTGCTTCAAGACAAGGAAGAATTATTTTTGTGGCATAAAATAAAGGATTATACCTTAATTTCGGTGGCCATCTTGGATTACTTTTGGTTTGACCTAGAGGACAAATTATGCAACAAAACAAAGTAAAAAAGGTAGGCTGTGTGGATATAATGCTTTGGGGGGAAAATAATATGTTTTTTGTTGTGTTTTGGGTGTTTGTTGGGATTCACTGAATTTACCCAGCTGAATCTTATTGCTGATTATTAATAATTGTTTTGTATTTTAATCCTTCAGTGAGTAAATGCGGATGGTAGAATAGGATTTATGGGGATTTTATCTTTTGTTTGAGCCCTCTGTGACGTCTCTGTGTCGAAGTATTTAGAAATTACAGTATTTGGAAAATGTGTCCAGTTTGGACATATTTAGACCTTTGTCCAAATATTAAATTGGACATGCTGAATTATTTTATTTCTCAAAAATTTACTTTTGATGCTATTGTTACCAAACTTGAACTAGTTATAGTTGGAAATTTGTATTTTAGCCCAATATTTTTTTCTTTAATACCTAATTTCTTTAAAAAAAATTAAAGTGAGAAAATACTTTTAATTTTTGTGTATTTCAGATTCAATACTAGTTACAGTTATAAAAATTATAACTGATGAAGATAAACGGCCTGAGTCCTTTGGCTCATAGGTCCTGATCTACTAAGATCCCATACAATAAGTGTTAAATTGTTGGGCAAACTTAAAAAAAAATTGATTGTGCTATCTACTAAAATTTCTGTGCATCTGATAACATGCAAAAATGGTACAAACCACCCTATTGAAGTGAGGACCATTTATCTGATCCAAATGCTTTTTTTCTGTACTCAGATTCCTGGAAAGCAGAGTTCATCAAAAACGAAAGGAAAAAGTTACTGAACTACAAAGCTCTGCTGGTCAAATCCCTGCAGCCCAGGATCTACTGCCCATTTGCTGGGTATTTTGTGGAGGCTCATCCATCAGACAAGTTGAGTTTTCACTGCTTTTGCCAGTGTTTGTACAGTAATAATGGATGATATATTAAAGCTCTAGGTCATAATGTGTCAGGCTGTCAGGCTGTCACAAGACAAACATTAGATGATTAATTAATATGATAAAGCATGTGAACTTCAGTACACATAAAAAGAAGCCTAACCTAATTAGTAATGTATAAATGTATTTATATATTGTTTTCCAACTGAAGGTATCTGTCTTTATCCACTGTATCTGTGTGTCCAAAGGTACATTAAGGAAACAAATGTTAAAAACAAAGCAGAGGACCTGAATGCACTGATCAATAAACTTGCACCAGAAGTCAAGACTTGGACACCCAGGCCTGGTGCAGTGCTGGACCTCAGCCTCGCTCTGAAAGATTCCACTAACAGGTTGTCAACAGATCAAAAACATCAGTTTTTCTTTTTGTCTAAAAACACAAAAAAATATATAACTAAAATTAAATACTTGTGAATAAAATATGTAGTAGAAGTCATGTATTTCTGAAAACATGTTTTCTTTTCTCTGACTTGTTGTGCTGTGTGGTTAAAGGCCACTTTAACATCCTGATAGTGTTTATGACATTTGTAAAACTACAACAAATGCTGGAAAATCCCAAACCAAAGAGGAATTTTGGCGTTTAACTGGTAATAAATTATAGATATAAAATTTTAAAAATTAGTTGTTTAAAATTTAACAACGGGTGGAAGACTATCTTTAAAGAACCTTATACAGTATAGTCTTAGAC